TTTACTAATTTGCTGCTGCTGCTGTTAGCTTCTCACTAGTGCCTTCGCCCCTTATACGCCGCTGCTGCTTCTGTTGCTGCTGCTGCTGCTGCTGCTGCTGCTGCTGCTGCTGACTCGGCAGCAGCGAGCGGGAGCGACGGGGACTTCTTGAATTTTCTTTTAATGAAAAGAAATAAAACTGTTGGCATTTAATTTAATTTAATGCTACATTTGTGGAGTCCCTGTGTACAGACACCCCAAACCCTAAACCCTAAAGCCTAGACCCGAAACCCTCGCTAGGCCTCTGCGGTCACTGCTGCTGCTGCGCTGCTGCTGCCAGCAAACGCCTGAGGTGTCTGCAGCAGCAGCTAATCAGCAGCAAATTAATTTTTTGAATTAACTTGAATTGAAGAAAATATAAATTAAACTAAATTAATTCTTCATCTTCACTTGCTGCAGTCCTGAACAGCCCCCCTACGCCTCTGCTGTTGCTGCTGCTGCTGCTGCTTATGTCTCACGGCTAAGCTTCCTCTTAAAGGGTTTAGGGTTTAGCCGTCTTCAAGGGCTTAGGGTTTAGGCCTCGGCAAGGGTTTAGGGTTCAGGGTTTAGGGTTTGCCGGTTCTCCCCAGAACTGCACAGCCCCCAAAATGCGCAAACTGCATTTTACGGAGTTGTTTAAAATGAAAACCATAAAAAGATGAACATTTAAAACTCCCGCTGTTCGCTGCTGCTGCTGCAGCAGCAGAAGCAGCAGCAACGGCAGCAGCAGCAGCTGCAACGGCAGCAGCAGCAGCAGCAGATTAGAAAAATACAAATAAACAAATGTAATTATTTAAGTGCTAAATAGACAAGCACAACTGCAACGCGCATGCAGCTGATTTGCGAATTTCATGAAATGCAATTTTGGATTTAAAAGTTCTTTTTTAGTTTTTTTGCATTTATAAATTCATTTATTGCACTTAAGAAATTAAATTGATTTATATTTATTCTTAATCTTATTACACAAGTTGAAGCGCGAGGGAATTCTAAACGCAGCACATCTGCTGCGCTGTTGGGGTGTACGTACACCCCAACAGCGCAGCAGTGTACGTACACACGAGCGCATTCGCGCTCAAACAGTTTCGACGATTTAAATCCATTTTAAAAACAATATAATATAAATAAAACGCATGCATCTCCAGATCTCTTCAAGAAATTTAAATAAATAATTATTTCCGACCAAACGATATGAGCTGCTCGAGATCGAGGTGTACGTACACCCCAACTGCACGCCTCGGGCCACTCGACGTTGAGGCGTACATACACCCCAGCTGCATGCAGCCACTTGAAAAGTACTTCTCTCTTTCTTGTCTTTCAAACTCTCAAAAGCCTGCAGGCAATTCACGAGAAAAATAAATCTATTTTGCTGCTAATTTGCATGCGCCTGAAGACCTAAAAGCCCCAAAAAGGACTTTTTGATTTAAATTTTCAGATATTTATTTCATTTTCTTTCCATCCAAACTTGGCTAGACTCAGCAGCCACTCGAATTGCAAAAACTTCATCCAAATGGTCTTTTATTTGTCTCCAGTGGTCCACAGCAATGGTCCATTTCCGCAGAGGTCCCGAGCCACTGCATGTACACCTGAAGGCCCCACTTTGCTGCTATCTTCTTTAGCTGCTGCCATTTTTTGCGGACTTTGCTGCACTTTGGGTGGAAACAGACGCCAATAGATGCAAATTAGTCAAAAATATGGAGTTTAATGCAACAATTATTCTAAATTGGTGCTGTGCTGCTCCTCAGCAGCTTGCTGCAGTCAGAAGTGCAAAAAGAAACTCTTCAGCTGCCGCCCCACAGCTGCTGCTCCCCTTCAGGTGTATAGGCACCTTCTCCAGCTGTGCAGGCGCCCACTTCAGGTATACAGACACCGCATTTGGAAGACCTGCTAGCAACTTCAGGTGTACAGACACCTAATTCAGAAGAATTGCTAGCAACTTCAGATGTATGGACACCGCCTTCAGAACTTGCAGCAGTTTCAGGTGTACAGCCAACAGTTTCAGGTGTATAGGCACCTATTTCAGGTGTATAGGCACCTATTTCAGGTGTACAGGCGCTTCGTTCAGGTGTATAGGCACCTCTTCCAGAAGTGCAGACAACCGTTTTAGGTGGACGTACACCGCAAGTTCCACCCGCCGCAGCAGCAGCAGCGGCAGATATGACCCACATTGCTCTGCTGCAGCAGCAGCAGAGCAGCTGCAGCAGCAGCAGAGCAGCTGCAGCAGAGCAGCTGCAGCAGCAGCAGAGCAGCTGCAGCAGCAGCAGAGCAGCTGCAGCAGCAGCAGAGCAGCTGCAGCAGCAACAGAGCAGCTGCAGCAGAGCAGCTGCAGCAGCAACAGAGCAGCTGCAGCAGCAGCAGAGCAGCTGCAGCAGCAGCAGAGCAGCTGCAGCAGCAGCAGAGCAGCTGCAGCAGCAGCAGAGCAGCTGCAGCAGCAGCAGAGCAGCTGCAGCAGCAGCAGAGCAGCTGCAGCAGCAGCAGAGCAGCTGCAGCAGCAGCAGAGCAGCTGCAACAGCAGCAGAGCAGCTGCAGCAGCAGATTTGCTGCCGTAGCAGCAGACTTGCCGCTGTAGCAGCAGAACAGCAGCAAAAGCAGCAGCAGCAGCAGCAGCAAAAGGGGCTTGCAAATAGGGCCAGTAGATAATGACTACAGGAAACAAATCTCAGGAGAAGAATTCTATGCCTGGGAGATGCGCTAAACCCTAAACCCTAAACCCTAAACCCCAGGCATTTGGCTGCTGCCCTCTAGTGGCTCCCCGGCCGCAGCAGAGACCCTGCCGCCTCAACTTTTTGCGAAGGTGCTGCTGCTGCTGCTGCTGTCGCAGCTGCTGCACTTGCTGCTACCACTGCTGTCTCAGCTGCTGTTTCAGCTGCCGCTGCTGCTGGTGCTGCAGCTGCTGCTGCAGCCCGCTCATATCTAGGAGTGTGTGGGTGGCCTGCGCTTCTGCTGCGTCTGTGGAGTTGCTGCTGCTCCGGTTGCAGCTGTTGCTGCTGCTGCTGCTGCACCTGCTGCTCCAGCTGCAAATGAGAGCTGCACGGTGTAGGTGCGCTGTCGGGTTGGTGCGGGAGGTCCCAGCACTCCTGCTGCTGCTGCTGCTGCTGCAGCCGGGTCTGTCGGTGTTGCCTTTCTCGCTGCGGTATGCAGCAGGGTCTGGAGTGGGAGTGGTGCTGCTTTCTGTGCTGCTGCTGGTGCTGGAGCTGCTGCTGCAGCCGCTGCTGCAGCTGCTGCTGCAGCTGCTGCTGCAGCTGCTGCTGCTGCAACTGCAGCACCCACTGCCGCTGATCCTCCTCGTCATCCTCAGGCAGCACGCAGGCAATGCTGCCGCACTTCAGCAGCAAAGCTCTCAAGGAAGCAG